CGATCTGTACCTAGGCAGTATCAGCCATGGGGGGGGTATACAAATTATGAACCTAGTGGTTCTAAAGGCCCACACAAAAGTCATTTATTGGTTGGCGCAGTGGTCTGGCAGGTCCTAGAGCTTAAGGCTGTAGTAGCCCAGAGTGGCATCCTGGGTAATGTCCTTGGGTGACGGGCAGCTCATGTGACTGGTAGTTAGCAAATTTACTACCAGTAATGTCCTGGGGTCCATGTTACTCCAGGTGCGTTGGTGCCAAGGGCCTGGTTTGGCAGGGATGAGGACCTGTAGTGCCCTTCATTGAGATGGAACGAGGAATGCCCTGTGACTTGCTTATCAATGTTTGCCCTCAAAATTAATAGAGGCTTGACTAAAATCTATGCCAAACACAAGGTTGTTGTTTTGCTAATTTTATGCTTTAGTTTGGCATGTTTCTCTTCTGGCTGCCCAGATGATATAGTGGTTAGGGGAGTTGACTGCGAAACGGAAGGGCCAGGTTCGAATCCTGGAGAAGCCGTGGATGTAAATTGTCTGTTCCCTCATAAGAAGTATTGATGAATACCTATTAGGTCCACCTCCATAATAAAATGGCCACCACTTCTGGCCTTAGGTGTGACCAATGCTGAAAATGCAACTGCCTGCCATTTGATTTTTTAAAAAAGTTTCTTATCTGTCTTAAACTATGGATCTCTGAAATCTATAAAAACTCTATAAATATAAACTTATTTTATAAACACTTCCACATTTGATATCAAATTGGTGCATTTAAATTTCCATTACTCAAATTTCATTATTTTTATATGCTAAACAATAATTAACAATATTAAATTGTAAATACATATGGCTGCTCAATTCATATAACACTAATTCCCATTCATTACTATAATTTTTTAATTATTTGATGTTATGGTCCTCATAGAAAATATACACCCTTCTTTATTGAGTTTCTTCTCCAAGATGCAAGCACAGTCTGAAGTCCCAGTGTTCAGCAATGTTATCTGCTATGCCACTGATGAACAATAAACATTTAGTCCAACAACATATAAAGCACTGCTTGATTTTTCAAAGGATTTAATTCTATGTAAGGTAAAATAACTTTGAATAAATTACCAGACATATCTTATTAGAATTGTTGACTTTGCTAAAGGGCATTCTTCTTTACTCCATCTACATTATTTGAATAAATTTTGAATCTTTTCTTTACAGCTCAAATAAATAACTCCTAACAGTGTATGGGTAAATAAATATGATATCAATTCTTTAGTATGAATCAGCTCCATATTAAATGAACTCCTTAAAAATTAGCTAATAAATATTGTATTAAGTAGTATTAATATTACTTAAAGAACAAATAATCATTTAATTCTGTTTTTTTTTTTTTTTTTTTTTTTTTTTTTTTTTTTTTTGTATATATAGACTCTCAACTTTCTAAAATGAGGATCTTTTGGCTAATCTTAATTTTCTTTTAGCCCTGATTGCAGCTCAGTATGCAGCATATTAATTAGGCTAGCTTTTATAAAAAGTGAAAATGATAAATTTTTTTAAGCATCAGTTTAGATAAATAATATTACTTTTAAGTAGTTTGACCCAGTTTCATCCCTGTCAAATGGGCAAGCTGCATCGTTGACTCTCATAGCTTTTTCCATGGTAATGTGAATATGATCCAGTTTTCCTTGAAAAGTCTCCATTCAGGCATACCTTCCCTTGGGCAGATAGCCCGTGTATACTTTGCCATATTTAAATAACTAACCTAAGTTACTTCTAAATGTACTTTAATGAATGAATGCAAACATTAATGAATACAAACTTTAAAACGTCCTTTTAATCTAAAAACTCTTCTTTTCTTAGAAATAATTTCTGGAAAAATTATTCTTGCTCTTTTAAACAGCAAAAAATGAATGAATGTTAATCAGTAAAGTATTAATGCCAACACTGATGCTGCTTTGGGTCCCATAGATGAGATTTTAAATACCTTGAAGAAAAAAAAAATATTACAGGTATTTTTTGACTTCAGTTTGTTAGCATCCTGTCACAGTAAAATAAAAAGGATTGCCTCTTGCGGAAAGTTTTTATTTCAAGTCTTGTGTGCAAGTGATTTTATGAAATAAATACACAGCTACATCTTGAATAATTAACTCTCTTCTTTATTACAACCTTTTTTAGAAAAGTGCACAAATCTTCATGAGATGTTAATTTATGAAGAAATATTTTGATAGCAAGATTTTTACTATAGTCCGTTACTTCAAGGCCATTTTTGCCTTCTGACTTGCCCTTTAACCAAGTTAGTGATTACTGCAACAGATTTTCGAATCCTCTAATTTGTTAAAATTTCTTAATTCTCTGTGTGTGGTAATAAAACACACTTTACAGTCTTAGATCGGGGGAGAGTCATTATGACCTTGAAGTGCATATTTTAAAGTAGGTTACAGTATTTGGCATTGCTATTTTTAAAAGCATTTCTGGGTATTAAATCCTAAACTAGTAGGCTAAGTGTAATTGTTTAACTTGAAATTGTTTTAAGTGTTAAACTAGAAACATCGCACAAAATTAATTTTTTTTTAAATTTTAAGATTTTTGAAATTTTAAGTACTTTGTCAATTTTTATAAATTTTAACAGTAAACAATTTGAGGTATTAGACTGTAATTTGAAATCTTTAGACTGCAATTTGATTTCATTCGTGAAGAATTGAAGAGGTGTTTATCATCTTCAGTAAGCTTATTTTGGGTCCTGGCCTAATAAAAAGTACTCCACTTGAGGGAAATATTTATTGCAAGTTTCATGGTCTAGTGATCAAGTGAAATAAATAAACAGCTATGTCCTGAATAATGTCTTTTCTTCATTAAATAAGTGCACAAATTTCTATAAGGCATTAATTCATATTGAAATAATACTACAGTAATAAATCAATGAAATATTCTACATTTCAGCACTACTATTTTGAATGGTTTGTTTTAAATGCAACATTTTATGTTCTAGAGTTCTAAGTCTTTGTTTTCTGAGAGACTAATTCTTAAACTTGAAGACATATCCTGTTTTGCTTAAAATTGCTTCAGGTATTAAATTGAAATATGCATACCCATATCAAATTGTAATTTCTTTTTTAATCATATAATTTTTGTATTTTTTAATATCTTTCTTAGCATTTTGCAATATTGATGTGTTAGATTGTAATCTAAAGCTTTCAAGTTGTAGTCCTCCCCCTGCCCTCAGTTATTAAAATGAAATTCGTTGTTGCTAGAGGAATACTAGAGGAAGCAAGAATCATGTCTTCAGATTTGGTTTCAAATCCCAGCAAAATCTGTATGCTTTGATTGGAGTGCCTCTTTTTATAAATTAGAATGGTGTATTTGAAAGTTTCCAAATCTTATGCAGAGATTGAAAGAATAATATGTGCAATAAATCTACATATTTTTTCAATAAATCAATGTATATTTGTGAGAATTGTGCTGTTTTACAAAGAAAATGCCAATTACAGTATAGTCTTTATTACGGAAGTCCATAATCCGGAATGATCTATAATCCGGACCTCAAAGCTACAAACTTTCTTCGCATGCCTAAACACATATGCGTTTACGCATGCGCATATAATACCTTTATGCATGCGCGTAATACCTTACGCATGCGCGTTTAATGTATAACGGATGGTATAAGCTAAGCTGGTACTTTTCCGTTTTGCCGGCGCAAGCGATAAAGTCGCCAGTAATGGTACAACCGATGCCAAACGGAATATTCTTGCTGGTAACCTTTTACGCCTCATTTTCAAAACGAGTCGCAGCTTTTTCTTATCAGATTGATTTTTTCTTTCAATACTGGCATATAATTACATAGGTTTTATCAGATAGTTCAGTTTATGTCTAAGGCCATTTTCGGTAATTAAGTAAATTAGGATGCAATCACAGCGCTTACCCGAAGCCGAAAATATGGAAAAGGTAAAGTCAAGGGTTAAATTCATCAATTGTAATGAGAATGCATTAGCGAAGTAAAGCACTGCAGTTTTATATAATTCTGAGAAGCTATTCGTACGAATTGAAATATTTCTTGCATTTAAACTTGTGTTCCAAATTAAGATTTAACTTGAAGTTAATGTAGATAATTACTGAGAGCATTAGATTTTGTAGAGTAGTTTACGCGAGATGAGATCGCTTGGGGTCACGTGATGAACCGGCGATCAGGATGTTGAACCATGAAACAAATTAAATTCTTAAATTAATGTCTTTCTACAAATTTATTGTCTTTATTTATTGGCTTTTTATAAAATTTAAACGATATTAAAATGTTTATGCCATGAAAAAAAAAATTCTTAGAACTAACATTTTTTAAATATTTTTTATGTGTATACTGTATGTTGTCGCTAATAAAGTCTGCTTGGCGAGATTTGCGCCGGCGAAACGGAAAAGTACCGCTAAGCTAAAATGATCTAATTATCATTCGGAGCGGGGACTTGGTGGATGAAGGTTCACCGTCGGAGATTGTGCCTGCCTCTCAGATCCGGTTAGCAAGTACGTCCGTCTTGCGTGGTTTGCCTGAGCGACCACGTGCTCCTACGAATCTTATTGCATCAGCATTTTTTAATGCTATTTTGCGGTTAGTATTACCTGTGAAATGCTTATATACTTTTACTATTTTAGATTATTTTTGGATTATTACGCAAATTTTTGATTTACATTACCACGTGTTTTGCCAAATTGCCTGATTGCTGGTAAGCGACTAATACTGCCATTTTGCAACTTATTAAGCTTAACTGTGCGTTTTGAATAATTAATTGGATAAACTTAAAAGTAATTTTGCGCGTTAGACTTTGGATTACTGGATTGGATAACACACGTAGTTACCCCCAAGCTTTCGCTTCAGGTGACTGTCAGGGACCTCGTGTGTTCTTCGCCTGCACATCCGTCTGTGGAGAAGGCTGTCGAGCCAGGGCTCCATTCCAGGGTGCAGGACTCCATTTTTATGGGCGCTGGATTTTTTGATTTTGTTGCGTTTAATTTCTGCGTAGCGGATCATGGAGAGGCTTGTGGAAATTTACACAAATCAGCTTAAGGAATTAGATAAAATCAGAGACAAAAATGAAGGGAAATTATCTGACATTGAAAGAACATTTTACAATTTTTTGCTTAGCTCCCTTGAGATTGTGAATGCTTTAAAGGAACAAAGTAATGAAAAACAAAAAGATAATGTCAATGATAATACACCTGCGTCTAGCACAAATAAAAATTATGATGAAAACAGCAGGGCTAGAAGTCCAATAAAATTACATGACGACTACACTACTAATACCGAAGAAAAAACTCTAGATCAAGACACGAGTTCAGACGAAGAACCCATTAAACGCCGCAGAGGCGACCAGACCGTAAGAACAAAAACCCACAAACCAAATGCTAAAAAAGTAAAACTCAGTACGCACACACAAATAATCTCACCGATCGTTATGGCTAATCAAGCTAGCATTAGCACAAATGATCAAGAGTTAAATAATGATGTGCAAACACATTCTGAATCTAATCAGGAAAATGAAACTGATAACAACACGGATACCAACATATGCGAAACAGAATATAATGCTAACTCAGATAATCAGATGATAACAAATAATGAAAACACAGACAGCAATACACAAAATTCAGTGAATAACACACAAAGAAAACTTCCACCTTTAATTCTTAAGGAAAATTTCATGACTTGGGGAAATATTAAAAAAGTATTTCATACCAAAAAATTCTCATTTATCGGACAAAATTTGAGGAACGATGGAATAAAAGTCATTGAAGGAGACGCTGAAAGTTATAGAGGCATTGTTAAGTACTCAAAGAGCTGAAAGTTGAGCCCCACTCCTACATCTTGCCTCAAGATAAAAACTTAAAAGTGGTCATAAATGGACTCACTACTAAGTCAGATATAGAGGAAATTCAAACTGAATTGAAGGAATTAAATTGCAAAATTATTGAAATCAAACAAATGTCAAGACGACGAGGCGGAGAAGTCATCCCACTCCCATTGTTTCTTGTTACTTTACCAAAACCTGATGACTCGAAACGAATTTATAATGAATATAAACTCTGCGACATGAAAACCAAGGTAGTGGAGTATAAAGGCAGACAGGGGCTCAGACAGTGTTTTCGCTGTCAGGGCTTCAATCACACCCAAGCCGGATGCAATTATGCTCCGAAATGTGTCCGATGTGGCGGAGGCCATTCAATAAAAGAATGCCCTGACAGAAAAAATCCTGATAAGCCCCTGATTTTGTGCGAAATGCGGGGGACCTCACACATCTAGTTTTAAGGGTTGTGAAAAGTATCCCAAGAACAATAACAACACAAATAATACTGCGAAAAACAAAACATACTCAAATCGAATCATAGAAGGTAAAAGTTATGCACAGGCCATATCATCAGGACTTTACTCTGAAACTATCAACGAAGCAAAACAGTTTTTGCTAATCTAGCAGAGCTAGTAAAAATCATTAAAGGCGCTGGCTTCCTACAACTAACACAACAAACCAAACGGATTACTCAAACCAATCCGGAAAATACAAAAACACAGACAATAAATCATGGGCCAACACGGGAATAGTCGTGCCCCCATTCAGTTCATAACCTGGAACGCGCATAACGTCCAGAATAAAATTACGGAACTACATAACTTTCTACTAGTGTATGATATTGACGTTGCACTCATCACAGAAACGTTTGCGACTCCCTATTACAATATGAATATCGCAAACTATAGGTGTTACCGATGTGACAGACTAAGTCATAGAGGTGGGGGGGTCGCGATTTATGTGAAAAGCTCCCTGCAATCCTGCCTTATCAGTGAAGACCGCAATAATGGCTATGAAGCAGTTACAGCATCTGTCTTACTTCCATATTACGGTGTTGTTTATTTTATTGCACTTTATAATCCTCCGAATAATCTTCTTGGCATAGACAAGCTCGCAGAACTTCTTCCGAATAATAAACACATTATCCTGGCTGGAGATCTGAACTCGAAAAATACAGAATGGGGTTGCCGAAGGACAAACAACAATGGTGAAGTCCTGCTTGAATTCATTAATAACTATCCTATTTACTTTTATGCACCAACTGACTATACCTATCTCCCGGATAATCCTAGAAGAGGAGACATATTAGATATCGTCCTCTCGAATACCTCCATACCAATGTATTTAGATGTTAAAGTCGAATTAACCTCTGACCATGTGCCTGTAATAGCTATTTTAAGTACCAATAGATGCGACGACAAGTTTAAAAGAGTCACCGACTGGCAGCAGTATTACAACCAATTGTTAGAGAACCACCCAATTATCAGCTCTCTTAGGAACAAGGAAGACATAGAAAATGCGATTGAAATTCTTAACAATAATATCCTCGGCGCCTACAACACCGCTACCAAGAAAATCCCAGCAGATAAAGACAATTTGAGGTTACCTAGAGAAATTAAAGATATGATCAAACAGAGGAACAGACTGAGAAAGAGGTGGCATATCTCTTGGGACCCAGGGGTCAAGAAGGAATTAAATAGGCTAAATAATAAAATTAGAAGCAAGATTCGAAAACATCGGGACGAGGCTAGGAACAATAAAATAGAGAGCTTTAATGAATCTGGAAAGGCTTTCTGGTCTTTTGCGAGAAATCTTAGACGCAAGCCCCCCTGCAACAAACCAATTTATAACAACAGCGGAATCGCGCTCACTTACAAAGATAAGGCCGCCCTCATGGCTGAGCATTTAGAAAAACAATTCGTACCAAATCAAGGCTCTTGTGATCCACATTTCTCTTATAATACACGGCAGTTCATCAAAGACTGGTTGGAAGGACCCGGAGCCAAAAACCGCACAGAATATACATCACCTACGGAGGTTAGGAATATTATCAGAAAGATGAAAAACCGGAAATCCCCTGGTTATGATGAAATTACGAATGTAGCAATTAAGAATATGCTTATTAACATTGTCACAAAGTACGTCAGCATTCTTAATGCCTGCCTTGAAAATAACTACTTTCCAGACAAATGGGAAAAGGCGAAAGTCATTTTTTTGCCAAAGCCGGGAAAAGATGCCACCAAACCGGAGGGATATCGACCGATTAGTCTACTACCAGGACTAGGAAAAATTTTTGAACGGGTCATCTACAAAAGAATTGAACCGCATATGGATAAGCTCCCACTGGAACAATTTGACTTCCGTAAAAATCTCTCCACGACTAAACAGCTTGTTCGTCCCTGCGAATTCATTGGATCTGCTCTGTTCAGATATCAAAAGTGTTGCCTTACTCATGCTAGACATGGCGAAAGCTTTCGACCGCGTCTGGCATGAGGGGCTCATTCTCAAGCTCATTACGCTTGACTTCAGTAGAGATTTAATTTTATTGATCAACTCCTTCATACGAAACCGTAAGTTCTTTGTAAATTTTGGTAATGAACACTTCGAGACAAAATATCTCAAAGCTGGAGTAGCACAAGGATATATTCTTGGCCCAATTTTATATCTGTTTTATGTTTCCGACTTCCCCAACACTAGTGCAGATCTCAATACTTACCTCGGTTGCTATGCTGATGACACAGCCCTTGCCGTGAAGTCTCATAGTCAGGAGCATGCATTAGTAAAACTTCAAGAGAAAATTCCCGCCATTGAGGAATGGTGTACAAAATGGAGAATTGCAATTAACGGTCAAAAATCACAGCTGATTATCATTGGGAAAAAACACTCAAGAATCCCCATTGACAGGAAAATTAAAATCTTTGACGAAGAAGTTCCGTTAGTTAAGAAAGCTACTTACCTTGGGGTGGTTTTAAACCACAGATTCACCTGGAAAGATCATATTCACACTATTAAATGCAAGACCTTTTACACCATCAAAAATCTACTTCCACTAATAGGTAAAAATTCCAGATTAGATCTAAGAAGAAAAAGACATATTTATACGGCAATAATCAGACCAATTTTCTGTTATGCTTCTCCCGCCTGGGCTACCTACACTCAGGTTTTTGAATTAATTACAAGTGAATGAAAAAATTACAAGTCACGCAGAACAAGCTGCTTAGAATTATTACAAATGCGCACTTCTATGATCAAATGAGACCTTGCACAGGGACTTACATATCGAAAGAGTATAAGAATTCCTTCACAAAAATAATAAAAAGTTTTTTGAAAAGGCGAGAGAATGTTCTCATATGCAACATTTCAAAGTGTTTGACTATCACATCTTTGCAGAGGACTCACGCATCAGACCACTCGCGGCCTTCGTCACCCGAGACTCAAACTTTCCTACGTAACTTTATCACGAGTGCAATGTCACTGTTATATATGTATATAAACCTTATTTAGTTGTATGTAATTTTATGTATTCATTTTCGATGTATAATCTCATGTATTTGTTCTAATCTAATAAATTGTAATGTAATTTGTGTAACTTTTATTATACCACACACTTATCACGAACAACTGAACACGTCAGATTTTCACCCTGCCATCGCCTCTCCTGGTCTTAGGCTGCGTCTGTATGATTCTCTACACTTGTGACGTCTTGCAGTCATCCCTTCTTCCCACTACCAAGCCTCCTTTCACTTGTCATCGCTACCCACCGTCATGTGCCCTCCGGGCCAAAGTGTCAAGAGCCGGAAACGTTGCATCAAAACAGCAATATCCCGGCAATACTGATGATGATAATGATGATCTAATTATCTATTTCAGTTAATGTTGCAGATTGCGTTGTTCCTTAATCTTCTAATTGGATCCGGCTTATTATTTTTTGCAGACTGTTAAGCAATTTTATAAAAAGTAAGCTTGAACTTTCGATTATGTCAAAAAGAGTTTCCAATTCTGGAGCTGCCAAAGGATCTACAAAGCGTCATTATAAATATCACGAATACACATCAAATAGTTTTCTGGTTGCAATTTTCTAATTTCGACTATGCGTAATGTATGCTTTACGCATACGCGCGTTGAAAGAATTGTTTAATAAAGTAAACAAATATTAAGCTTTTTTTTGTAAATTTTGATACCCTTTAGATCATAATTGCTCTTTATTTCATAAATTACGGTTCATATTTTTAATTGTATAATTTCTGCATGCCATCTTACCACATTTAAATTGATGATTTATGATCCGGAAAAACTCCTAATCTGGAATCGCCGAAGTCCCGACGAGTCCGGATTACGGACTTTGTACTGTATAAATACTGCTTTGTGAGCAATTATGTCATTCCTTTTCCTAACTTCTGCCGTGCAAACATCTCTGCGCTGCTATGCTTTCCTGTTTAAGATGCTTAAAAATCAACTAACAAAGGTATTACTATCAGGTTTTTGTTTTGTTTTATAGAAAAAGATTATATATTTATTAGTATAGGTATATGATCCTTCAAAATTTTAATAAATTATTATATCAGGAAATTTTGATCACACGAGAAATGGTTTTCATACCAGTTCGTCTTCAACAAGTCTTCGTAACTGATTTTCTCTTATGGAATGGGTCACATCCATCCAATAAACAGTATGACCATGATGAAAACTGGCGATGAAAGTGTTTTCTCCATAGGACAAATTCAAGCCGGTTTCCTCTACAAAGTTGTCCCTAGTAGCATCTCCTTCCTCACGTAGAACTCTGGCATGCTTATTCCATGTTTTATCAGCTTGTTGATAGAATAAATGAATTGCATCTTAGCCATTAGAAACGCTCTGCACAAAAAAAAGAGCACCTTAATCAGCTTAGATATAGCAATGATTAAGTAAAAACAATTAAGTATGATTCATTAAATAACTCTCATTGGAAAAGAATATTACAAAATATATCAGTTTTACCATTTTTATCTAATTCAAAG